TGCTTCTGCTGTTACCTTTGTCATCGCACTAGATTTTGCCCTGTTTGACCTGTTAACTAAAGTCCGTTATTTTGCTTCCAATGTAGCGATTTTTAGATTTGTTTATTCATCGGCGGCTGACAAAAATTTCTCGTACTTGCGTGTAATGCATGCGATACACTTTAAAATCGGAATTTCCATACATTCTCTACAGAACCACGTACATTATGGCCTAGTGTCTGGCTGTTTTACCTGTTTTACCAAAACTTTAGCACCTAGGGATGAAAGTATTCCAGGCAGTTTGTGCACAATATTCCTCTTTTTACGTTTTCCCTACAATTCCGTAGACATCGCACTCTCAATGCCGCAGAGACACCTAGTGCAGCACTCTTTACCATTGCGTGATGTCCCATTTTCGTACTATGTCGAACGGCGAGGCTGACGATGTATGAAAACTTCAAATCTGAGCCACCCACTCGCTCCAGACAGACGAGCAATTGCGAAAACAGTGGTAGCAATGACAGCACTGAGTACCACAAATAATTGCTACTGAAATTAAAAAATTCACTCAGGACTCGTTGGAAAGAGTGTTGAATTTCCTTCCGAACAATGTCCCAATATTGACAAAATGAATAAAATTGAAGAATTTTGTGCGCGTATATCCAAAAGGTTTGATGATAATTGGAAAAAACGCTCAACGGAACGATATGAGCGATGTATTTCCAAGAAAACGATGTGATAAGATAGAGCTCTCAGAATTGGGTCGAATAATCGTAGGCTCGACGATGTGTGACGAGATTTCAAGAATGTAGTTGTGTTTGTGTGTGTTTTGACCCACACATTCACAAGTGACTGCGTGCTATCTACTTCCTTCGAATGCACATGGCTGCCACTAAACTGCTGAAGTGGTTTATTTTTTGTTCCAGTTTTTACAATCATTACCGTGTATAGCCGTCAGACGGTGTTGATTGCTGTCTTTTCGGCACCAATTTGGCCGAACAATTAGAATTAATTAATTGATTAATTAGATTAATCAAAGGTCGACATCACTATCTTGTGTGTTCTGATTTTTTGTGTTCGGTTAAGGAGCCATAGCGACACCGTACATTCGCGTTGCGATCGCCATTTGGTTTTAAGGACATGCAGAAGTTGAGAAA